TACACTGCGACTGTGAATTAAAGTCACGTCGAAATTCGATGGTGTTTACTTTAATCTGATAATTAAATAAATCAAATATTATGAGCCGTGCAGCAATCTTTTTTTTTCTTTTTTATTTTCTATAACCCAAAATAACTTATTTTTTTTTTTTTTTTTTTTTTTTTTTTTTTTTTTTATAAAAGTCTTAAACTTTGTAGGACATTGCATTAGTTTCACATTAAGTTTAGCTGAATTAAGTTGAAAACTTTTTTCTATAAAGCCTGAGAGCTTCTCCGCTTTCCGTCCTTGGTCTCCAACCATATACTAATATATGCCCATGCATGCTTACTAAGGCATATTTAATTGATTTAGATGAGCGACTGGTAGATTTTTGTAATAGAATTCTGGCCCTGGAATGATTAAAAAAAATTACTAACTCCAGTGACGTAGCATCTTTTTTTGAAAGAGGAGGTCAGCCAGAAAACTTGACAAGCCAAGAAAAAAAAGTCCAAGCCCGAAAATCCTATTTCGGGGAGAGGGGTCCAACTTAAATCAGTCCCATTTTTCCCCAGATATATTACATTACCCTTAGTGGACTTTACTTCAACAAGAAGTGGGGGTGGGGGGCTGTACAGTTTCAATGAACATTACATTTTCTATAGTAAAGTTATGTCTGGGAAAAGAGGGGGGTTGATATTATGTGCCTGTAATTTGTCCTAATCAATCAGGACCCCTCCCCCCTTATTCCCAGTCATTAACACACGGTCGTCAACATTCATTATATACTAGATATACAGCTTTGAGATAATGTAAATGTATTTTAACATCAAGTAATGAACTTTTGGAATCAACATGATAAAGAGTTAACACAATATAAAGATATTTTCAAATCACATAAGAAAGAGTTGACATAACGTAATTATATATCCACATCACGGAATGGAGTTTTGACATAATGTAATAAAGTATTGATATGATATAAAGATATGTTCACATTATGTTATACACTTTTTACACCACGTAATAAAGCACTGACTTAAAGGTAAGACGTGTTCACCTCTCATCATGATGCCCTCGCCGTAAAATAAAGATAAATCCATATCACGTAATAATGCCTTGATATAATAGAAATATACACTCTCAAAAAGGAATGGACTTTTGACTTAGTTTAATTATAAAACACGATTTACTTGACGTAATGCAATTTTGACCTCACATATTAAAGAAATGAAATGATGTAAAGAAACATTCATTTCATATAATAAAGTTTTAACACAATGTAAACACATTATCACTTCACATAATGAATTTTTTACTTCAAGTTATGAAGTGCTGACATAATGAAAGGATGTATTTACTTCATGTAATGCAGCATTGACATGATGTTAAGATATATTTACATCATCTCATAAAAAATGGACATAAGATATGTTCACATCACGTAATTATAAATTGACATAATAAATGCATAGTTGTATGCTATAAGGCAGTGATGGCGTTCCATACATACTTGAAACAATAGGTATATTACCTAAAGATGTAAGAACAGGAATATGACCTGTACAAGCAGCAGGTAGTACTGACTGGTGAGGAAACTGGTAAAAACTGACCAGTATGAGATATGACAGGTACATAACCTGTATTGTGTGTACTGGACATTGTATGGACAAGTCCTAATGTGCCAACATTAAAATAAGGTTTTGAACTATTTGGTACATGCCCTGACTGAATTGTGTGCAGTGGCTCTTGACAATGCATGAAAGTACTGCTGGTCATTGAAGGACTATGATTGTGAGGTACAGAATGTGCAGTTGAGAGTGTTGTCAAGTAACCAGTGTTGCAATTTTGTAAATGATCTGGCAGTGGGTTTCTTAAGCTTACTAAAGGTGAAGCTACTGGACCTTGAGTACCCGACAAAAATAATGGTGGCATAGCACTTACTTCATGTGAAAATAGTGAGTGCACTGAGTTGTTACCCTTATATACATTTGTCAAAGAGCTAGGAGTAGGAGCTCTAGTATGTGTGCTGGGTACCTGGATTACATCAGAAAAACTTACTGGTGTAAACGAGCTTTTGGATGTTACAGGTACATCACCTGAATTGTGTTGCAAAAGGGTATTGTTTGTAACATGTACCAAACATGTATGATCTGCAGCAGGTAATTTACCTGCATTAGTTTCAAATATTTCGGACTCTACATTTGTTTGTGGAGTAGAACTTGTCAGTCTCGTCCTAATGTTTGTGTTATTAGCAGGTGTTTCAATCAGTTTTCTTTCTTCTTTTTCAGACTGGACAGATTGAGATGCGTCAGAATTGTAGTCTCTACCCACCAGCACATCCTCTTCAATGTGTCTGCTTATAGGAGATTCCATATCTCGACTTCTTCTTGCCGCTCGACTACGAGCTTTTCTCTTAGAACCCATGACATAAAGTTACTTTGTAAACAAGTAAAATAACTTGTACATAAAACACCAAGATAATGCAAGTAAACAGTATTGTATACCAAATGTTTTTTTTTTCTTTTAAATAACCTGTAAATTACAGGTACATGAAAAACGTTTTTTTTAGAGGTACAGAATTCAATCACTGGATCTGTAAATTTTACAGATCCCGCCGTGGATGACAAAATTGTAACGTGCGGATGCGCTAACTGGACTGTCTTCAACAAGTCAAGAACTCCATTGAAAGTTTATAAATTTATTTTACAGGACACAGAAACAAAACAATACTGTTCAACATTTCACAAAATCTCTGGTGTTTCACAAATTCATAAAAACCTCTATAACTGGAGTCTTATCCAGTAATTAAATATTTCATGTGCAAGTCTAACTCTCTTAGACCTATTAAAATCCTAAGTTTAATCCTAAACTGGTAATGAACCAGTAATCATGAAAATCTACACCAGTAATATACGGGTAAATAAATAGTATTCAATCTCTGAATAAAGTTTTCCCCCACACCACTTAATACTATCAAATTATTTAACCCAAAGAACTAAATATTAAACACACACCTTGATACAGTGGTGTAATCTGCTGTCTCTAATCTACTCTACTGTCTGCAACTCTCGTTCTTACTGTATATACGTCATGAAATACTACGAAATGACGTAAAATACGATAACCAATCAGAAACATCGCGCACCTGATCATCAACCAATCACAGGCGATACGCGATAACCTTATTCCCACGACTACAAAAAAGTTGTGTACATGTTTCACCATAAAATAGAAACAGGTAAATTATTATAACTACTTTATAAACAAAATAACTTTCGTAATAATCAAAGAAGATTAACATACAATTAATTAAATAAATGGCCGCTTACAACTTTTAACATTTTAAGAAAAATGCATTCTGGGAAACCGCACTTCCGGAATAACAAACCATGCGGCGAAAGAGAAAACATACCAGGTAACAATTTATCAAATAATCGCTAAACAAACACCGTTTCAATTATGTGATCATGTATACAATATAGGAAGCGATAGATAACAATTAATTTAACATCATAACAACATTAAAATCTCGAAAAGCAAAGAAATTAACGTATGCGGCAATACTCATCCTCTGACAGCATTCGGGGGTCGTATCAAAACACAATGCACACAAAAAAATGTATTCAAGTAATACGGTTAAAACTTCGTGATATAATATCGCTGTCACTATATTTGTCACACTCCCCCTTGCCATTTGATTCAATATCAGGAGTTTTCGGGAGTTGGTGTTTGACCTGACCTAATTTTCACTGATTAGATGTTTCCTTCAAATGTTCAAACAAGCTTTTATTCGATATGCACATTGCTCAAACACAAAGTGGTTAAAATTTTGACATACTTTCAAGAAATCTTTATGACATCTAAGTAACATTTTCCTTAATGTTTCTATATATACATCATACAAGTGTAGAATAAGGAAATAAGATTTTATCTGAATCTTGAGGATTTTATCAGAATTTTAGCATGTTTCTTCCTTTCAACACTACAACTAATGTCTAAGTACGATGAATATTTCTGCAATCATAACTTACGCTCTTGTTTAAGTATGTTTGCAATTTCACTTAAAAATAGAGACTGATAAATTACATTTTGCATATTTTCCATATTCTAGACACTTTGCTTTTCAATTTTTTTCACTGATAAAAATAAGTAATTTTCATTTTAAAAACTGGATAAGGTTGAGTAGACAGTTTTTTGATTTGCAGAAAAAACTAGGTTGATGAAATAGAGTAGAATACCAGCATAATGAATAAATGCAACTCAGTTACAAGTATTTAGGATGGATACTTTAGCCAACTAGGAAAAATGACACCGTCACAGGAATCGTTTGCAGAAATATTTATGGTTTAAATGTCAGTGATTTGGTTGTCTGACCATAGCTGGTCAGATGTAACAAACAACCATAGGATTTTTTTTTTCATTTAGTTTGAAAAGCCTTGTCAGATTATAACATTTATTGCCGTTTTTCATAGAAGGTACAATAACATAGCAATGTTTCACAAAAAACACCTCTAAGATTAAAGACATATGATAACTGTACATGTACATCAAAGTTTAAGAAGAACGGAAGATTGGAATTGATTTCGCTCTAGAACAAAACTGAACTTAAATTTATCTAATTCAAAATTTTCATACGTCAGTACATAAAATGAAACTTACAAAATAATCTTTTTTTTGCAGGAAGAAAAAAAATTAACGCCCCATGCAAGGCTCGAACCAAAAACTTTTCGCTTCGAGCGCAATGAACAGTCAACTGCAGCCCATATTACTGAGCAATCACTGCTACAAATATATACATGCATGTGATTTTAAAAGGACAAAATAGTACCACATTTACAGAATTGATTTTTTTTTTGGAAAACATTCATTTTTAATGGTCTCTGGGTCTTCTCTCAATTTTTTTTTTTTACAAATTAATATTCGTTTCTTAGAATTAAAAATACACAAATAACGTTTCAAAATCATGGCTAGAAGACCCAGAGATAGAAAAAAAAATTTAGAAAAATGTGTTAAAAATGTACCATTTTGTACCAAATGTCTGATTTAGTCATCTTTTAAGGTTATTTTTTAACAAATCAAGATCACTTTCGGAAAAATATTTTCCTTTCCTGCTGCACAGGAACCCGATAAATAATTTTTTTAAATTTCATATACATGTAACATGCCGATAAAATTTTCAATTTTCAAGTACGCCCAAATTCCTGTGAATACCAATTAAAAGCACCCTCGTTCTTTTCAAAACAACATCTTTTAAAACGATTGTCAATCATTAAAAAATATTTTTTTGTAAGATTTACTCCTTGTTGATTAAAGCTTCAGCGCTCAATGCTTGCATTCACTATCATTTTTCGATTTTCTTCCCCACATTGATCACCTTGTCGAACTTGATAAACATCCCTCTACAGGGTTTGCTAAAAGGAAAAGGAAAAATAACCCAATCATTTGTGAGTTTTTGAAGACATTAATCTAGAGCCTTTTTAGCCTTGACGCCTAATTTCCCGAACAAATACCAGATTCTTTATTAAGCGTCTTAACGACTGTAAGTATATAAAAATAAATATAAATTCGGGAATGTGAAGCGTCCAAATTATTGGCGTCCGGATTAACGAGGCTCAGGTGTATACCAAACTAACTAAATAAATAAATGAATTCGTGTATATATATAGCTTTTCAACATTAAGCTTCATGGTATATATGACGCATTCTTAAAATTCATCTTACATTTTTTAGATTTCAAGTAGTTAGATTTGAATGAGTGAAAGTCGTGAGAGCAGATTAATATGTAATTTACTCAATTTACCATTTAAAATATCGAACTCCCTCAATCATTTCATCATGTTTTCCATCACCTGTAAAATATCAATTCAAATGTCCATTTAATAATATGAAAAACATGTTATATCTTTCCTATTTTAATCTTAATTTTGGTAATTAAGTTGCTAATTAAAATAGAATTATAGATATATAAAACGATAAAGAATTTCACATGAAATAATTTATATTTATATTCTAAAATATGAACATTGAACTAGGCTTTTGTAAAACAGAAAATTTATTACCCCAAAATAGGTAGAAAAGAGAAGTTATCTTATTGCACATCTATAAACACTTAATCATATTCCAGAATACGAATGGATAAGTGTAAAACAAGTAAGAAGAGTTCAAGGAATCAGGATCCCTGTTTGGAAATGAGATTTCAAAAAGATTACTTCAAATCTAGAGAGCAATACCAATCGTATTTCAAATTTTGAATCGGCTACTATAAAAAATGTGAGAGAAGATTAAGAAACCAGGTTTGGATAGAGAAAACCCAGCTTTTTTAAGGCCTCTAAAGAAATTTAAAAACATAAATGCACATCAAAAATATTCCAAAATATGACACTGCGGAAGAAGTAAGAGGCGTACATGGAACAGTGTTTTAGTGAAAACGTTGTTACCCCCATTTTGCCCCATTGCTGAAATTTTCAAAATCTTATAGCGCATATAAGGCACCAAGGACTGTCCAAAAGAGCTGTCTACTGCTTCAAAAGAAAGACTAGATTTAGGGTGAGAAAAGAGCGACATATGAATGGGCAGAAGAAGATGACAATGGGTCCAAGCGTTTCTTAGAAAGTATATGTATGATAAAAATGAAATGCTGCGATTACCTTCAGTGTCAAGCTCTACTCCAATGTAGATTCCATCCCGATCTTTTAATCTGCCAACATATTTGACAATGCCATTGCTTCGAAGACCATTGTATCTTTCAAATTCTACCATATCCTCAAGGCGTATCATAGATGGAGATACCGGGAAAAGAGGTTTAACGCCCTCGATGTGAAAGGTAGATTCGCTGTAACAATAAAATAGGTTGTTGGATATTCGAGCTTTATAATAGGATTCGAGAAATCACAAATTCGATAAATATGTCGAATGCTTAATGGATGCTTGCTGAATAATTTTTTATTTAATTTTTTTTAGTAAGAATCGAGTAAAATGTCTAATATCGAGGGAACATCTGCACAACATAAAATTGTCAAAAAAAAAAAAATGCAGAAGCTTAAAAATTATGATAAAAGAAATAGACATATTCTAACTTCTTTATATATCAGTATCAGTATGTATAATTTAATCTATGGATGCATATTTAACTTGACAAGAAATTAGTGGATGGATGTTTTTTTTTTTAAAATTTAAATGTAACATGTTTTATTTTATAAAATATAATTGGATTATGTAGAAGACATGCCTATATCTATCTGTTTAGACAAAATGTTCTGTTATGATCATAAAGTAAGAAAACTTAGAGAAATGTTTTTTCTTTTTGAAAAAAAAAAATAAAATAAATTTTTATTAATGCTTCATTTTCTCAGATAACAAAAACAAACCTGAATTCGCACACTGAGAACCTGCTTTCTGCTCTGGCTTGTCTTGTGTTTTTTCTGTACAGGTTGGAATCTGACAATCTCGATCGAATTCCCAATTTGCAGCTTCCTGTCGTTTCCTTATTTCTACCTCGCAACCTCTCTAGTCTTGCGGACTCCATTGATTCTTCAATGAAAACAGAAAAAAATGTGCCAATCGTAAACCTTTGACCGTTTGGAGGGTGTCTGTTACATTATTGATTTTACATTTATAAAACACAAAACTGATACATTCGAATAAAAATTGTAATAGATGAAAAATGTGTCCTCGAAATTATATCTTTTTAAAAATCTAATGATACCTTACTGTCCAATCATTCAGTTTCAAACACCAACTGTGCGTCAGTTACTTTCAAAATCAGAGGAAGAAAGCCGTCATCCCAAACATCCGAGAATAATCAAAAAGAAAACTTTGCAAAAAACCCCTAAAGAATTATAGTACGAAAGATGTCCCACAAAACCTTTACTTTTTCAATTAATTGTAGAAATTGTGTCAGAAATATATGGAGATAAAGAACAGTAGTCAAGCTCAAAAATCCATTTAAACAATACATATCAAAAGCAGACCTAACACAGACCTTCAAAACATGAGAGGTGGGATCAGATGTCATGGAGGAGTAAGAATTCCCATCCGACCGGTCACACATGCAATATAATGTGTTCCTTGTTACCATCGGTAAATAACGGAAAAACTCAGTAAGCATTTGACTTAATGCATCAATCGTATTTTTTTTATATTCTAGAGAAAAAAAATGCAGAATTTCTAAAAACACTTTCTTTCTGACGTTAGCATTCTTGTGCCGACATGCGTTGTATTGTGACAAAATATTATTTATCCTGCAACTACTCCTTGCATTAACCTAATAAAGGTAACCTAATAAACCAAGCTTTATTCGATCACTACGAAAGCCCAGAAGGCTCATTCGAGATTCAAGTTTCGAAATACGAGATTCAAAATTCGAGATTCGAAATTCGAGTTTCGAGATTCAAGATCCAGATTAACCAATCAAAAGGCTCATTCGAGATTCGAGGTTCGAAATTCGAGATTCGAAATTCGAATTTCGAGATTCAAAATCCAGATTAACCAATCAAATGCGGGTTCAACATTGATTACTCCCCTTTATTATGTTTAATCTATCAATAAATCGTTTAATATATTTATAACAAATGAGTCATTTGAATAAATTACCATGCAAGAAAGAGTGTTATATATATTAGAAAGAAAGTTAAAAAAATCATTTGATTTTTGGTCAGCAAGATATACTTCAATTTATATTATGACTTCTTAAATATTAAATAGAATACATAATCAGGAATATATATATTTTTGCATTGTCTACTATATATAAAGGATTGTTGACATAAAAATAAAGTTATAAATAGTGACTAAAGATTAACAAAATCCTTGTAGCCTTGATAAATAAAAACCGAGTATATTTTAGTCTTTGACCATAACGCTATGGTCAGAGACTAAAATATAAAATCATAACGCTTTAGTTCTGCAGCTAATTTAGACTAATTTACTGTTTGATATCAGATAAAATGAATGCTGCATTTATTCTAATTCATATTTGCAATCTGTATTGTATATATAATTGTTAATTAGTTCAAGAAATCAAAGCCTTAGATGAAGATAAGTAATTGAAAACTTTATTTTAATGCATTCCCTCTATTAGGAAAACGAGCGCGGTTTTTATTTATCAAGGCTACCTTGCCTTTCAAATTTTTAAAGTAACATTTTCAGTGTCGGGAAAAATTGGCAGGTGTTGTCGGTAGTGGTGGGGATTTTGTTAATCTTTAGGCACTATTTATAACTGTATTATTATGTCAGCAACCCTTTATATACAGTAGACAATGCAAATATATATATATATTCCTGATATATGTATTCTATTTAATATTTAAGAAGTCATAATATAAATTGAAGTATATCTTGCTGACCAAAAATCAAATGATTATTTAACTTTCCTGTTAATATATATAACACTCTTTCTTGTATTGTAATTTAATCAAATGACTCATTTGTTATAAATATATTAAACAATTTATTGATAGATAAAACATAATAAAGGGAAGTAATCAAATGTTGAACCCGTATTTGATTAGTTAATCTGGATTTTGAATCTCGAAACTCGAATTTCGAATCTCGTATTTCGAACCTCGAATCTCGAATGAGCCTTTTGATTGGTTAATCTGGATCTTGAATCTCGAAACTCGAATTTCGAATCTCGAATTTTGAATCTCGTATTTCGAAACTTGAATCTCGAATGAGCCTTCTGGGCTTTCGTAGATCACTGCCCTAATAAAGCCTCGTACATGTATTCCGACGTTCTAAAAGCATTGTGACGTCACGTATACTGCAAGCCTCGCCCTCTATCACGGTTTCTTACCCTTGCCCAATTATCGCTTATATTTCAAGACAGTCACCATGTATTTTATATTTATGAAGATGTTTGATTGAATCAAATAATATTACAAAAGTGATGTCGCAGATTAACAAAAAATAAAATAAAGACATGGGATATTATCAGATTAACAAACACATGCAATGTAATTAAGATGATGAAATTATGGCTCTATAGTGTTAGATGTTACTGAGAAAATGTTACCACGTTCATTCTCTGTTTGTCTTTCTCTGCGTGATGAAGATGTTTCATCATCTTTACTGTCGCAGAATGACTTTGAACGACGTGCATCCGGATCAGTACACCTGACAGCAAAGTCAAAAGTTGTTTGAATGGGAGAGGATACCGCGCCAAAGTTCTGTTTCAACTCGTCCTCTGAAATTATTTTGCCAGAAAATATAGGCTTTCTAATTTGGATTTTTGATACATTTTCAAGTAAATGTTGAATATCAACATTAAGATGAAGGACTTCAAGGGCATCAGTTGACATTAATATATCGTCTATTCCTCTGAGGAAATCTTCCAGATTTTTAAGCACGTTCTGGAGATCTACTTTTTTACTCATAAGACATTTTTGCATGAACCGTTTCATTTTTCTTGCATCTTCAATATTGTCTTTGACAACACTATCAACCAGTTTATGCCACTTGCGCCCGTTATCGTTTATCTTTTCTTCAATGTTATCAAATTCGTCATCAAGACAATTTAACTTTTTGTCAACTCGATCTTTCATTTTTTCAAACGTTGGAATGACTGTGTCTGTAACATCATGCTTTGCTCTTTTTATCATAGATTGCCGTTCAGTTACACATTCTAGAAAATCTTTAACATCATGTGACTTGTGATTACCAGATGTTATACATTTACTGCAAACTGACACGTCACAATTTGAGCAGAACATTTCACATTTCTGATGACCATGAACAAAACACACTGGAAATGTTGGCTGATCGTCCTTCTTAAAGATTAAAGATGCCACATCATGAAGTTTGTTCACTGTACTAGACATATGTTTTCCCACACAAGACTCGCAAAGAATAATGGAACAGGAATGACAACGAAATTCTCCGTTGCTACAACACATCTGACATCTCACTACGTCTTGAGCCTTGCAAACGTTAGCCATCGTTAGCTTACTGAAAATAATAAAATGTAAAGAAAATGTGAATTATTATTTGTATTTGCAATTATAGCATATTTGTTTATGATTGTCATCATTTAACATTTGTCAATCATTTAAAAACAAAATCACAATAATAATAAAAAGAAACATTAAAAAGAAAATATCCTTCCATGATAATGAAAAGATTAGAAGAATTCCATGGTTACTGAATGAAATTAAAACGGAAAGAGTATTTGGCAGTTGGTTGAGTGAATTTTGATGAATTTCTGAATTCTCCCTATTACATTAAGTCCAGATGAGTTTCATATCTTCGTAAGAGCAGATTATTTATGATGAAAATAAATTATAGAAATGTTCAATTGATTTAAGAAAAATTATCAAGATTTTTCGATACGAAAATTTACTACAATTAGCATAAAGTACTAATTGCAGTAAATTTTTACCATTTATGAAGAACAATTAAATTCAAAATCCTTTAAATTACAAAAACATCAAAGTTTTCAGGTCAATCATTGCTAGAAACAGGAAGTTTGTTTGGTGGATGTCTGGATACTTTAAATGAGGACATATTTTATATAGAAAAACCCACTTGTATAAGTTCAAGTATCAGACGATGTATTTTACAAATCATGAGTACTTATGTCTACTTTATAAATGTAACAAGAGAGCAAGCAATGATCATGTTTCAGAAGAGTATTTTCAACTATTTTTTTGTTTTGTTTTTATTTTTGATGTATATAACCATTTTAAGCGTCTTTATGATCATGTCGATTAAAACAAATTAAACATTATGAACAACAAGAAAAACTAACATTTGAATTAACAGTTATATGATAAGCCAAATGATCAAAATAAAAAAATTATGTATTTGTTTAAAAAACGAAAGAAACTTCGCATGTGTAATATATGGAAGGATGATACATTCTAGGCTCCCGGCATCATTTCACTTGCCCATTGTAAATTGACGTTGACCTTCCAGCATGAACTTGATGCATGATCATGACACATCTTAAGTAAAGAACATTCAAGATTTTTTTTCATTTCCTATGAAGATTTCTAGAGATAGAACATTATTCTGAGAGACAAGAGAGGCAACCATAACAAAATCAATGTCTCTTTCAGTGTTGGGAGACTAATTTTTTTTTTACATTTAACTTATTAGTGAATATGTTTAAGGATAATTATGAGCATTTTGTAAAGAAATTTTAATTAATTTTGAGAAGTTTTGCTATGAAATGGAATTATCTGCTATCGACGCCTGCGTAGTGCAGTGGTTGGTACATTTACTGAAAGTCGTAATGTAAGAAGTACATCTATACATACATCTGGGCTAGGTGGGATTTGGAGACCCGTTCATAGGGTGAGACTGTTTTAACCGAGGTTTCTTGTCGCAGCAGGGGTTTAACATGGAAAAGACCAATCAATTAAGTCTTAATTAACTGATATTTTCACTATTTTAACACAAGTTTGTTTCCTTTTTTCAGCGGAACCGTCTTACTGAAATGGAATCTATGGAGTTAACGAACAGTATTAAAGTTCAAGAGTCCATTTAACAGTACACATCAGGAGCAAAGCACACACGAACCTCTAAACCATCAGAGCTGGTAGCAGGTGTAATAGTTACCGTATGTTTTTCTATTGGCTTGCTATAGATACATGTACCCGATAACATTTTGAAACAGTCATGGGGAGCAACGTTCCTAGTGGATGTTTCAAAATGTCATCGGGTATCTATAGCAAACCAATAGAAAAAACATAATGGTAACTCACTTGTACCATAGCTACAACCTGTATACGTAGATACTAAAATAGATTTAGAGTTACTCTGCTTAATCAAGCGTGCAAAACATCGACTGAGAAATGTATAGTTAGATAAACAGTGTTAAAATATTAATGTGATTAAAATCATACCCTAATATACTATCGATATATACACTGTATTTAATTAAAAAAAATAATTGTAACAAAAGATTATAGTCATTGACTTTTTGATAAATGAAATGCTATGAGTAAATTTAGGGGACTATACTTTTATGCAATCTTGACCAAACAAGATATATCACACGAAGAGGCACGTGTTCGAGTGGTCTGTTCGGGTATCAGCATGGAGGAAGACGCATGGATTAAGCGATTTCTCAAGCCCCAGATAATAAGAGGTCGAAGAATCCCTAAACAAATTGTCGCTAACCCAAACAGTTGAATTGTATAGAGTCGAACCTGCTGATTTTGGTGATTTTTCTATGATGAAATAATTCCTGCCGATATCCAAGAAAACAAACGTTTTGCATCCCTGTCGAAGAGGAGGAAATAGACAATTAATTTTAAGAAGTCCTATGAAAGCAAAAACACTCGGAAAAACACAAAATGGAATGTTAGAAGATTTCAGGAATGGAGAAAAAACCGAATCCAAATTACTGGAGTGTTCATGTCTGAATTGACTCTATTAACTAATGAAACTGAAATGAATGACATGATGACAAGGTTTGTGATTGAGACGAGGCGTAAAGATGGTGCTCAGTACCCATCAAGATCTTTGTATTAGTTGTGCGTGGGTGTCCTGAGGTATCTTCGAGAAAATGGAAACCATTTAAACTTTTTGGATGAAAAAATCTCAATTTCAATTTTCAAGGATTTCGAGGAGCGCTTAGCGCGAAAATGTCTGAGCTTACTGCTCAGGGAGACGGAATTCTGAAACAGCAAGCGGAACTCCTGTCCGAAAAAGACGAAAAAATTCTGTGGAAAAAGAACATATTAGGGAATCATACTTCAAAATCTTTTCTGAATTCTTATTTTACAGCTGTAAGCTGTTTGGAGAGAGAGAGAGAGAGAGAGAGAGAGAGAGAGAGAGAGAGAGAGAGAGAGAGAGAGAGAAAACTTACTTTTGTACTTGTCTTATGTGAAATATCTCAAAGATATTTTATTTTCAGAGAGCGGGTGTGTGCGCAATGGTATGTGTGTTTATTTTTGTATTTTTTTTTTGAGTTATATTCGATAAATACAATAAATGCTGAATATTCATTATAAAATGTTTAGTTTACTAGATCGCAAGAAAGCGGAGTTTGAAATTAGTGGGATATATATTGATCACAGAAAAGTGTTGGTTTGCTCAAAATCTCCATGGTTTCGAACAAAGAAAATCTGGTGTATAGATGTTTAGCTATGGTACAAGCCATGAAGGAGTGAGCATCCCCTGCTAACTGGTCACATCCGCCGTGTGCTCCTTCTCTTGATTGGGAAAATAACGGAGAAAATCGTCAAAATATGCATGTATAATGGCCTAACATTTTGTATTAAAAAATGTAAGTCATCATTTGACTTAATGAAAGATTGTATTTCCTGACAAGGTCATTTTATTGGCCATAGATCTTACAAAATTATGTCTTCAAAGGAGACTGCATATATTCTTGTTTCATCAACTTGTTTGTCATTAACTCACCTCGATCTTGAAATTGTTCATACGTGGAGCTTGCTCTTCGGTATCGGATTAACTGAAAGATGCAACCCCCGTTTGGAGGTGATGACTGCTGTATAAGTAATGAAGTTGACGAATGAAAAGTAAGTCATCACGTTTATAAAAAAGCTTTGTTATTAGATTACAATTAACGCCTTTTTCTGGTAAAATATTCAAACATACAACAGATTTATCAGAATCCGTGCTGTTTTAATTCAAGCTTACCGGGATGTATCGTCGACTTAAGAATAGAAGTAATATATTTTATTGATAGTACGTTGGTGATATATCTATATGTCGAGTTGAAGGTCATCGAAAGTGTTCTCTTCTTTTCACTTCTATCTTTTCAAGAACAAATTCTGCTTTTTGAAATATATGGAGCAGATGAAGAAAACAATGTGTACTCAAGATCAAAAGTCCGTAAAACAATACAAAATAGGAGCAGAGCAAAATTAAAAACATCAGAGGTGGGATCAGGTGCAATGTTGATACAAAATATGGTAGGTCTGCTAATAACGGGGACAGCTCATGCAGAATTGAATTCTAATAGACTGTTGAAAGATCTGGTCTCCTAAAACGACATAGATATTGTCAAATATTGTCAAAACTTAAGCATCATCTTTTTCATGGTAACTTCAGAATACTTATGTGTACAATCAATATATATATTTAACAAAATGATTATACAAACGACCAATGACAAGGTAAGAAATTTATCGAGTTCCAAGGTCATTTAAAAAGCAGACCCTAACGATGTCCAAAAGCCTGGACTTGTTGGAATTGACGTATATATAAAGCTTTTATTATACAGCATATCATTTTAAGATGAGATATTATAGTAGTTATCATGTTCGGAAATTTGAATATATTTTCATTCAGTAAATTTAAAATTAGAACACGACAATAAGTAGTTGTAATGAAAGTCGAACACAACATTTGAATGGAAGAAACCAGTAATAAAATAAATGCCCTTATTTCTGAGCTGAAAATGATTCAGTTTTTAATCACATAAATCGTTGTTATTTAATTTTTCTGAAAATATTATCGCGAACTTGTAAATTAATATTTCAATGTATCAAAAATAATAAAAGAGCGGCTTCACTATCCGTCAATTAAAAATCACCAGGACTTTTTTTTAGAACGTGGTAGTGCTCCAGCATTCTAAGGATAATTTATATAATGTTAAGAACATAACATTTATCTAAAATGGAAACTTATTACATAACGTTTTTTTTAGTTAAAGAATAATATTTAAAATATCCCTCTTCTACGACCGAAATATTTAAGAAAGAAATAACAAGGCTAGAAAAGTTCTCGGAGAAAAGGATTTGGTTGATCTTATGCGTGAAAAGAAGAAAAACACTTGCTTTGGCCTTCAACTCAACATTTAGATACTAGTATATCGACGATGTATTGTTAATTAACAATGGTAATTTCCATTCCTTTGTCGATACGATATATCCTGGTGAGCTTGAGATAAAAGATACCACAAAGTCTGAGACATCTGATTCATACTTGGATATTATACTTGAAAAAGACATCAATGGTAATCTAATAACAACCAACTCTATGATAAACGTGATGACTTTAACTTTTCTATCGTCAGCTTCCCTTACTTATGCAGCAAAATACCTTCATCACATGCATTTGGCGTTTATATATCTCAGTTGATTCGATACGCAAGAGCATGCTCTACGTATGAACAATTTCTAAAACGAGGTAAATTATTGACAAACAAGTTGATGAAACAAGAATATCAGCAGTCTCGTTTAAAGTCATTATTTCGTTAGTTCTTTGGTCGATACCATGGCCTTGTCAGGAAATATAGTTTATCATGGAGTCCAATGCTGTCTGACCTTTTTCATACTTATTGTTAGTCCATTATTTAAACACTGAATTGACGACGGATTTTTCCATTATTTCCCGATCATGACAAGGAACACACGGCGGATGTGGTCTGTCAGCAGGGGATGCTCACTCCTCCATGGCACCATTGTTAATTAACAATACGTAGTTGATATATCGTCGATATACTGTAGAAGTACTTTTTTCCGCGTGGTATTAATTTACGCTATGTACGCGCTCACAATTTTTCAGCGGAAATTTGTCCAAGCGTACTTAATATAAATGTAAGGCATATATAGTGACAATCTAGAAAATCCGCGTAATTTTGTACCCGCGGATTAAACAGAAATTGAGATTCCGCGGAATTATGACCCCGTGGAAAAAAGTACGTCTACAGTATCTAAATGTCGAGTTGAGGCCACAGCAAGTGATTTCTTCTTTTCACACACCATATTTAGCACAAATTCTGCTTCATATGAATACAAAAATAGGTCTGTGTTTTTCTAATCATGACAAGGAGTAAACAGCGTGTGTGACCTGCGGATAGGAGGGTTGCATACTATTATGAGGCACATGATCCTCCAATGTTTTGAGAGGTTCATGTTTGCTCTGTTCAAAATGTTTATTGTTTCAATGGACTGATCTTTTTACTGTTTTTTGTCTTCATATTTTACACTATCCTGCATGTTAACCTCAGTAGAAAAATGCATCAATATTTCTATGGCTCCCTTAAGTAACTTACATGCCATAAAGGATAAAGTATCTAAGTTTGGCACCCCAGTATCAAAATGACAATGCCAAACGAGACTGTTTTGCGATGGGTTACACCTGCTTTATCTAGGCATTTCACTGTTCTAAGTATTCTTATAAGCCCCATTTATTATTTTAATTTCTAGTCCCATAATTCTGGTAACCCAACCATCGAAGGTACTTGCAAGTATGGTTCATAGACATAAAATTCTGGTTTCAAAATGCCAGTTGAAATTTGTGAAATCTATTGCCTTGTCATTTGCACTGACATTATGAATGATTGTATTTAAAATCATTATTTTTGGATCAGTCCAAAAATGATGAAATTGTAAACTAAAATGGTATGAACGGTTTCTATGCAAAATAATAGTTGACAGCTTGAGGTACATATCTTTAAAATTTAGATGTATGTGACGGTTATTTTGTTGACATCCGATACTGTAATCAATTATGATATGTTATTATGAAAATGATGTACCATATAATACCAAATCAATTAAACTAATTCAGTAAAGCAATTCGCTTCAAGAAAAATGTTCTCTCATGTTAACGGTTTAGAGAATTTTTCTCAAGAGATTGAAGATGACCTAACCATTTTTATCAAACTGTTTATATTATTTTATGCTGATGATACGGTTATTTTGTCTGAAACCGCAATTGATTTACAACATGCATTAAATGAATTTTCTGTATATTGCAAAACATGGAAACTCCATGTTAATGTTAAGAAAGCAAAAATTGTCATTTTTATCAAAAGTACCATCACCTAAGCATACATTTAAATACAAGGACGATGTTTTTAGAATTTGTAAAAGATTTCAATTACCTAGGTATTTTATTTTCAAGATCAGCGTCATTTTCAAAGGCCAAGAAACACCTGTATAATCAAGCACGAAAGGCAATGTACGGCATTATAAGAAAAAAATCGTTTATATAGTCTATCTTTGGACTTTCAGCTAGATCTGTTTGATAAAGTTGTTGTTCTGTTTTGTTATATGGATGTAAAATATGGGGATTTAAAAATATTGATATTATTGAACTTCTACATTTAGATTTTTGAAATACATTTTAAACTTACCCGATGTATGTGAGCATTTATACAAGAATGATATCTTTTTGGGGAAAACTGATACATGGAAATGGGAATAAGATCTGTAGAGAATTATTTATTTACATCTTTGTAATAAATACACCAATAATGGTATTTGTAATCCATGGATATCTTTCATACAGAATATTCTTAATATAACGGGGCTCTATAATATTTGGACGAATCAAAATTTCTGTAGCGTTAAATGGATTGCAACTGCAATAAACCAAAAGCCCAAAGACCAGTTTTTACAGAAATGGTATAGTGATATGAATAATTCCAGATTGAATGTGAAAATACTTAACTATTTTACCAAGAAAATTTAGAAATATCTTTTCAAAATTCAGAACAAGTAACCATTGTCTTCCAATAGAGATGGGTAGATGGAATAATGTTGAAAGAAATGAAAGAGTGTTCAATTTAATAATGTCCAATGTAATAATAATCAGATAAGAGACGAATTTCATTATTTACTGGAATGTAATGCATTATGTAGTATCCAAAAATATTTTTGTTGCAGAAATACTATGAACAACCAAATATTTCAAAATTCTGTAATTTAATGACAAAGTACTGATCCAGCATTCTTACGAAAATTGTGTATATTTATCACCAAAATTTTTGACACTGTCTGTCCTCCTGTAATTTCTGCTCGCCCATAATTATTGTAAATATGTATATATGTACCTCTTGTACCATGATTATGGTTTTTGAGAGAAATAAATGAAAATACTTTAAATCCTCTTAATTCTTAGGTCATTATTTTCAGCTGTGTTGGTACTTAAAATGCACGTTAACACGGTTATATATCTCCAGTTGTATTTTCCTGTTTGTTTGGATTCAATAAAATTACAGCTAAAAGCATTATACGTTTCAGGAAACAAAGTCATTTTGTGTTTTTCTTCGGATAAAAAAATCCGTGCTTAGGGGAGAGGAATACTGTTTAATGGTAGTTGAAATTTATCGTTTTGTAGCGATATTTTTTTTATTTACATATGCTTGTTTCCAGGTAGATGTTTGATTTTATCTTAACAACAGTTTAATGATGTCAGTCACTTCCAAAACAAAGAATTTGTCATTTTTTACTTTAAGTTTTTACCATATTATTAACAGCTTAATTTCATAAACTTACGGAAAACAATCTTGATATTGATTCGAAATCAGTTTTTAAAGTTATATTGATAGATATGTTAACTTCTTGCTAATGGCAGGGTTAAAAGCCGTCTCAAATAAAATTTCAGCGATCGAAGTGAATCTCTATTGTGTATTAATAAAGGACAAAGGCAAGTTTCCAGAAGGAATCTTTTTATCAAATGGTTACACTTAAACAATATTCAAAGAGGAGCACTCTGTTATTTCACGAATTGGAAGTGCAATGGACATGATGACAAGATCCGAATGTCCGAAAAATTCCATCAGAAACAACAAAACACAACTTTGTGAATGTAAAAATGGTTACACAGGAGCAACTTGTAATGAAGGTATGTATGTTTTACACAATGATCACTCAAGTTATTGTTTTGATTTGAATTTCTTCTTTGACATCATAATGCAAAAAACATCATAATATTTAAGCATTTTTCTTGAAAAAATGTCAAAATATTATATTTTAGCAGATGATTAAATATCCGATTGCTTAAAACCAGTATTTATTCATTCATATAAAACTAAGAAATTGGTTAAAATTTTGATGAATAAGAAAAGGAAATAAATGTAAAGTTTAAATATATAAGAAAGACATTCTGAAACAGCTTGTTTTTTTTCTTGCTTTATCACAGTATGTGATAACGGTACCTATGGTTTTGTATGCGGTACAAAATGTGAGTGTCCACTAGAAGAATGTCATTTTGAAAGAGGTTGTCTCAACAAAACAGGTACTCTGGATTTATTTGAATTTTCAGAAACTCTTCAAAAAATAATTAGACAAACACAAAACAAACAAAAACAAATGATTTTTTAAAATCAGGTAAAGTGACGATCGACGCAATGACATCAACAAGGAAATGGAGAACAGCTGCATGGACAATGAGTGGTACCTCTACTAAAAAAACACAAGTACAACCGGGGGGTGGCGTACTGGTTCTGACTGTGTTAACTGTCGTTTCTGTCACTTTTGTAGTCTTTGGATTGCTGGTTATCTACTGTTTTTGCTTCGAAAAACGGAAAAGGTGAGTACTGATATAATTTTTTTACATTATGTAGAAAAAAATGATTTAATATTAAGCCAGCTCAAACCTTATCTGTCTTTTCTCTTCCAAAAGAAATGGAATAGGAAAATGTCCTGCGGGTGCACAGAATTTAAATCTACAGGAAAGAGGTGATTTTGCTGCGTATTCTTTCATGATAAAGAATTAACTTGGAGTAATTATTTTTTATCATGCAAAGGAATGTGTAAACTAATAGAATGTTTAATATGCAAAAAGATTAATTGTTAAGATAATTTTACTTAAACCCGTTAACAAAGATTTGAAATTAATATAACGAATCATAACACTGCTGTTTTAATGATTTCTACATATTTCCTTTTTACATGCTTTTTGTGACATCATTCGAAGCATTGAATGTACAAATGAAATTGATTTAAATCAATGTTTAAAAAAAGGCTTTTTTGATATATTTTCACCTTTATCTTGTTGTCTATTACTTTTTAACCTCCGTTTGTACAACCTGAATCATATTTTGAAAAAAATTCTCTCCATTGAAAGCTGTATGTTGTTTGTGTTTACTTACTTTGATAGTTCTGGCTTTAAATAAATTTGATTTTAGAAAAGAAATAAACCTTTCCTATATTTTTTAATGTCAGACATTCGAGTGTTCTTCAATTAAATAAGGAAACTATTAACGCACTGTTCCATTTTATTTTCTTCTTCTCCTGTATTAAAGAGTTCTATTAATTAAAACTATGCTGAGTGGTTGATTATTTTGTCCAATAATGCTTTACACTTTTACTAAAACAAAGTATGGAGAAACAGCAACTACAACTAATTACTTGGCATGAGGCAAAGCATGGCAATTGTGACTCTTGATGTGACCACTAAAACACATGCAACAAATGCAAGACATGATGCAACGTATGCGTGAGAGCGTGGGAAGCTAAAACTTACCGATTATAAAGTGTTGTAAAGTGCTCACTTGCCAATTGTGAAAGGGTCTTTTAGGTATATTGTAAAGAGAATTGATTGTATCTATACGTGACACATTATCTAAAAAAATCATTTTAGTCTTAATTCCTTTCAATTTCATTTATACTGCAGATAATATAGAAAACGTACAAAGCGTTGTTAAAGATTTTTCCGAATGCCTGTATGTCAATGAGAAAAACTGCTTGCAAACATGTTCACAACACCATTTAACTTCAGTTAAAATGGATGATGTAATGAGTGAGGAAAAACATGTGTTTGATACACTAAAAGGCAGTGAAGGACATTATTATAAATTCCTTCCAAGAACTGGCTTACCCAATCAAAAACTAATGGATGTATAAACAATAAATATAAACCATAAAGGCAGATGGACGTGTCATGAATATTGAAGGAACATTACGATCATGTTAAATTTGTTTTAAATACATACAGAACTATATGTATGTCTTAATTTATAATTTTGTTTGCTTGTACATGTACAATCCTTATTTTATGCAAAGAACATTGTGATCTCTCATATATTATTCGTGCAGTGTTTATAAAGGTATTTTTCATAAACAAATCAAACATGACTATACAAAATGCATTCAAATAAGTTTTTCAGAGCGGGAATATTTGAAAGTTTTTCTTTCCCATTCCCCTTAAATATAAGGTTTTTTTGTTAAACATATTTAACATATTTTGAGGAACCAACTTGATACACATACCAGAATGTTTGCTTTTTAGGATCTATGTAAAAAAAAAAATTAAAAGAATAATGTAGCATTTCATAGGTTGTGTTCGACCACAAATATCTAACAAATGGGGCAATGATATAAAGATTATTTTTCCTTTATTAGCTTTAATTATTTCTAGTTCTTGTTTCCTTTCCATAATTATCTTTATATAGCCAAATATCTTTCATCTTAAATAAAATATACAACTAATCAGTCGATCAATCTCTGAAAAGAACACAAAAAGAAAAATAGACAAAAAATAAATAAAATGAAATTGATTGATTGTCAATTGGCACAAACTTTTTTAACTATTAAAGGATTCGTATCCATCTATATGTCTTTTAAGGATTTTCTACCAATGCACGGTTTCTCATAATTGCTCGCATTTTTATATTTATTTGAGCGGCCATCTTAGCTAAAAATCCCTTTATGTAGTGGCATGCCTTTTTTGAATTGTAACAAAGTTATGAATACCAAGGCAAACTTCTTTCAGGTTTTGTGTATGGAGAGGAAAAGAAGGAACTTATAGACCATCAAAAGGAATATTAAAATACTTTTCTATGGAAAACCATTAGTTGCTTTACTTATGAACGACCCTCTAAATAAATATTTAACA